GAGGGTGTGTCTCCATCAGGGCCTCTCCCATAAGCAGGAGTGAGTTCACGAATGAAACAGGACAATGAATTACTTGTGCTAGGGCTGCACAACATGACATTGTGATTATACTGCGCATGCGCAATAATCACCAGGGCTCTAGATAATGGGCGAAACATCTGTCCGGACACCGGCGTTTCAGTATTATGCAGATGTTTACTTGCGTCCCCAATATGGTAAGTAGATTAGTAGTGTGCCTGAAATATTAATGGGAGGTGTATTGTGATGCCAAAAAGTGATCTGTATACAGTAAATTCGGCATATCATTATGTTTAATGAACGTCAGACTTTAAATTCCACAACCACTGACGTCTTTTTACTTTGTTTATTCGCAATATTCCCTCTTTTAAGAAGTTGTGGCTGCTGAGCTGTCCCTTTCTTCATCGCCACTTCAGTGCTTATCACTTCCATGATTTACCAAAACAGTAGCATGTGGCGTGCTCCAATAACCGAATTCAATAAACATAAGGATACGCCAAATTTATGCAGAAGTTTTAGGCATAACAATACGCATCTCATTAATATTTTTACTGCACTACTAATCTATTTACCAAATTGTGAGCTTAAGCAAATGTCCCTATACAGTCAGCCCTCGTGCATTCACGCTTCATGATTCGTGAATTCACATATCAGCGAAAATTTCATTCTACTGTTTTTTATTAAATATTCTTAATGTGTGTAGGTATTTTTGTTCTCTCTTTTTCGTGGTTAGCCCACACATAGTATTTTTACAACTTTTAAATGAAATTAAAGTGTTTTGGGAGCATGACTGGGGTCATATTTAGGGTTTGAACTATAGAAATCAATCACATATTAGCATTTTTAGTGACTCTACCAAACATCCACGAATCCTCCTCATTCGTGACGGGTTCTGGAACCTAACCTCACGAATGTCCGAGGTCTGACTGTAGTACCGAAAAGCTGGTACATCACCCATCACCTAAAGCCCTGGTGATTAGTGCGTATAATTGAGATTACATCGCAATGTGATATCAGGCAGCTCTAACATGTGCAACACCTATTTCCACAAGGAAAGAATTAGTTATCACAGAATAACAATTTAGTACAAACTGAACAATTCAGAGACACAATTTCACAAAACAATTTCTTTGTGTGAGGAATTCCAAGAGCAAGAAGGAAAAAGAAAAAAAAAAACACAAAAAATAGATGAAAATTCTGCACACACAGAGCTGCCTTCAGAATCAAACCTACAAATCAGGAAGTGTGACACTGCAGTGCTAAACCATGGTGCCAATATGTAGAAATAAATTAACCTGTTGATTTTTTGGTTAATCATGCCACAATGTTTTTCTTTGAGAAATGCACATCAGCATATGTTGTGGTTCTATTCTGTATGCTTCATATGTTCACGTTTGGTATGTACATTAATGTGTATCATTGA